TTTGACCAATCTACGATACTCGCGCCCTTCAGGATGGTGACCTAGGAAATTAATTCTACAACCTGGCGATGATGCGAGAATCAGGAACGAATAGAGGGCCAGATGGGCAACCTCACTTCCAAGCCAAATCGCGACAGTGATCACGCATCATGCTCGTGGTCAAAAGAGCTGAATGACAAGAGGGCCCGAGGGGCAACCTCACCACAGAACCGATCCGCGTCGCGGATCATGCGTCACTCGCGCCACGCGGGCACTGCTCGTGGTCAGGAATCGGGAGTGATTCGAGGGCCCGACGGGCAACCTCACGACAGGGCTAGCACGTCTCGGTAATTGCCGCCGCCGCGGCAGCACGGGCCGGACCTCCTCCCCCTCTTCCTCCTCCACCTCCACCCCATCGTTTTCCCCTTCCTCGTCTTCAGTTTTGCGATAGTCGCGCCCGTCAAGATGGCGACATAGGAAATTAATTTCGAACCTGGCGATGGTGCAAGAATCGGAAATGATTAGAGGGCCCGATGGGTAACCTCACTTCCAAGCCAAATCGCGACAGTGATCATGCATCATGCTCGCGGTCAAAAGCGTTGAGTGACCAGGGGGCCCGATGGGCAACTTCACCTCTGAACCGATCCGCGTCGCGGATCATGCGTCACTCGCGCCGCGTGAGCACTGCTCGTGGTCAGGAATCGGGAGTGATTCGAGGGCCCGACGGGCAACCTCACGACAGGGCTAGCACGTCTCGGTGATTGCCGCCGCCGCTGCAGCACGGGCCGGACTTCCTCCCCCCTTCCTTTTCCACCTCCACCCCATCGTTTTCCCCTTCCTCGTCTTCCGCTTTGCGATACTCGCGCGTTTCAAAATGGCGACCCAAGAAATTAAATTCACAACCTGGCGATGGTGTAAGAATCGGGAATGATTAGCGGGCATGATGGGCAACCTCACTTCCAAGCCAAATCGCCACAGTGATCATTCATCATGCTCGTGGTCAAAATAACTGAGTGACAAGAGAGCCCGAGGGGCAACCTCACCTCTGAAACGACCCGCGTCAGTGGTGACAGTTTCCCAGAATGGCAGCCCCCCAGGGACGGCGAGGTCTAATCTGAATCTGGGTGGTGCCTCACTCCGCGGGACTGACCAGCAGCCTTCGAAAGTGGTGACAGTTTCACAGATCGCAGCCCCCCCCAGGGATGGTGAGGTCTAATCTGAATCTGCGTGGTGCCTCACTCCGCTGGACCCACCAGCAGCCCCCGAAAGTGGTGACCGTTTCGCAGATCGCAGACCCCCAGGGATGGCGAGGTCTAATCTGAATCTGCGTGGTGCCTCACTCCGCTGGACCCACCAGCAGCCCTCGAATGTGGCGACCGTTTCGCAGATCGCAGCCCCCCAGGGATGGCGAGGTCTAATCTGAATCTGCGTGGTGCCTCACCCCGCTGGACCCACCAGCGGCCCTCGAATGTGGCGACAGTTTCGCAACCAGCAGCCCCGAATGTGGCGTCAGTGTCGCAGATCGCAGCCCCCCAGGGATGGCGAGGTCTAATCTGAATCTGCGTGGTGCCTCACTCCGCTGGACCCACCAGCAGCCCTCGAAAGTGACGACAGTTTCGCAGATCGCAGCCCCCCAGGGATGGCGAGGTCTAATCTGAATCTGCGTGGTGCCTCACTCCGCTGGACCCACCAGCAGCCCTCGAAAGTGGCGACAGTTTCGCAGATCGCAGCCCCCCAGGGATGGCGAGGTCTAATCTGAATCTGCGTGGTGCCTCACTCCGCTGGACCCACCAGCAGCCCTCGAAAGTGACGACAGTTTCGCAGATCGCAGCCCCCCAGGGATGGCGAGGTCTAATCTGAATCTGCGTGGTGCCTCACTCCGCTGGACCCACCAGCAGCCTTCGAAAGTCGAGGTCTAATCTGAATCTGCGTGGTGCCTCACTCCGCTGGACCCACCAGCAACCCTCGAAAGTGACGACAGTTTCGCAGATCGCAGCCCCCCAGGGATGGCGAGGTCTAATCAGAATCTGCGTGGTGCCTCACTCCGCTGGACCCACCAGCAGCCCTCGAAAGTGGTGACAGTTTCGCAGATCGCAGCCCCCCAGGGATGGCGAGGTCTAATCTGAATCTGCGTGGTGCCTCACTCCGCTGGACCCACCAGCAGCCCTCGAAAGTGGCGACAGTTTCACAGATCGCAGCCCCAAAGGGATGACGTAAAAGGCAAGAGAGAAGAGGAGGAGCGAAGAGAGGAGGAGAAGGGAAGCAAGAGAGGAGGAGCGAAGAGAGGAGAAGGGATGCAAGAGAGAAGAGGAGGAGCGAAGAGAGGCGGAGAAGGGAAGCAAGAGAGGAGAGGAAGAGGGAAGAGAGGAGGAGGAGGCGGGAAGGAAGGAAGGTGGAGACCGCAGTGCTCTATTCAAAACGAGTACCCAACGCGGGAGGGTTGGGAAACAAACAGTGTGATGGAGCGCGCCCTTCTGTTCGGCACGGGTTGCTGCAACGTCCTTTGTAAGAGTTGGCGCTGGCCCGACACCACGTTTGTGGCCGCCTCTTGCGTACATCGTTAGTGGGAGGGGAGGGTGGTGCGGCTGGGGCTGCCAGGAGTGCAGTCACGCCTCGTTCTCAATAGGGCTACGCACGCAGCGGGGAGCGGGGATCAGAGCTTGAAGATTGCGGCGCCGGCGATCGCGCGGCTCGATCTGAGCCTGGGCGGGTCGCGGAAAGGCAAGGTTGGCACAGGAGAGCGGGGGGCGGACCAGGGAGGGAAGAGAGGCGCACTTACGGATGGGATTCAATCTTGCACGATCGAGGCCGCGATCGATTCAAGTTTGAACCATCGCCGCGGTGTCAAAATCTTTGCGCACGCCGACGCCGCGCGAACCTAACATACACATGCGTCTAGAAAACCCGTCAGCAATAATCTTACATTGACTGGCCAGTCAGTGGAAGATCCTGCGCGTGAGAATCTATGGCCAGACCGCGACTACGGCGACGGCGAGGGTGGTGGCGGCGACGACGACGCCAGCGGCGACAGCGCCGGCGGCGACGGCGACGGCGACGGCAGCGACGTCGGCAACGGCAACGGCGCCAGCGACGGCGCCGGCGACGGCGCCAGCGGCGGCGCCAGCGGCGACGACGACGACGACGATGGCGACGCCGACCGTGGCGCTGGGGCAATGGTGGTGGCAGCGGCGATGGCGACGGCGGTGGCAATTGCTGCGACAGCGAGGGCAACGACGGCGGCGACGGCGACAATGGCGACGGCAACGACCGCGGGTGCGACCGCTTTGGCAAGGGCGACGGCAGCGACTGCGAGAGTGTCGATGGCGACCATCACGGTGGCTGCGTCGGTAACGACCACGGCGATGGCGACGTCACAGTTTTGTCTTCCAAAGCTTTTCAACCAGGGTGGGAAAAGGAAGGGGGCAGCTAGAGTTGCGAGCATTGTACTCACACCTCGCTCTCAAGAGGGCTACGCACGCAGCGAGGGTCAAAGCGTGAAGATTGCCCCAGAGATACGCCGATACAAATGCGCCTTGAATTTCCGCTGGCAACATTCTCGCTGACTGTAGAAACGGCCTGTCGGAAGCGAATTGTACGCCCCTGGCACAATTGCTGGACTTGGGAGACTCGACCTGGGAATTTGAGAACGTTCCGATGCCAGTGCCGCATTTCCTCGACCTGGGAATTAGAAAACGTTCCGATGCCCCTGCCATGTTAGAACGGTGGGGACCCTGTGGTCTTGCCACACTCGTGGGCCTGTGAGAAGCGGACCTGTGAGAACCCATGCCACTGCTCCATTTTCGGGGTTTGGAGGGCCAACGCAATCGAGAGACATTATGTCCGTTCATTCTTGGAGGATACAGATGAACCCGGCGCGAACCCAATTAGGGGAAACTTTCCTATTGCATGGGCGCAGTGCTTGGCATTGCTTGGGGCATTGCTTGGCATTGCTCGAGGAAGCTGGGGAACCCGAGGAACCCGACGAACCCGAGAAACCCGAGGAACCCGACGAACCCGAGAAACCCAGGGAACCCGAAGAACCCGAGCAACCCGAGGAACCCGAGGAACCCGACGAACCCGAGAAACCCAGGGAACCCGAGGAACTCGATGAACCCGAGGAATCCGAGGAACCTCCAGGAAACGGGCAAATGAAGCCCCCGAGGCACCACTTAACCACGTAAGAACCCCTTAGGCAAGCCTAATTGGGGAAACAAGTACACATCTATTTGCTTTTAAGAGTGCTGGCGTCAGGTGCAAACTTGGCGAGGGGAGCAAATGATTTTTCAGTGATCGTTTCAGTGAGGGCAATGGCAGACCATTGTCAAATCCCAAGAGTGACGCGGCAGCGAATCGGCAGAAATCATGCAAGCAAACACGGATGCATGCACAAGAGGACTCAAGCAAGCGATTACATCAGCAATTCTTCAGGCCCATATGAACATGTATTGCAAAACCAATTAAAGCAGCGCGTGTACCACCAGAGAATGAAAGCATTAGGAGGCATGCGAAGTCGAGTGGAAGCACGTCAGCATAAATGGAAATGTGCAAAGAAGGGAAAGCATGATGAGGTACATGGAAGCATGTGCGAGCAAGTAGAAGCAAGTGGAGGCACGGCGCGCACCAACGGCAGCCCCGCATACCGAAACATCAAACCCGCAGAGGCCAGAACAAGTCCCAGTTGGCCAGGGTAGTAACTGGGCTAGCCGAAAACTGTGACGCACCACCTGGACGGCCCAGGGTTAGTCGAAGTTGGGGATGTACCAATCGGGGCAAAAGTGTCGCGCCGCCGTGGCGGGGACTGATGACGCGAGGATCGGGGTTGTTACCGCACCAGCGCCGCGGTTGGTCAAGGAACATGTCCTGAAGGTGTAGGATTGCGGATGGCATTCTCGGCAGCACGTTCACGCTAGTTCTTGCCATTGTCGTTAGCGTTTGTGCACGCTTGGGCTCAAGCCACGTTCAGTTTCGTTGGCTGCCGTGACCGCCCCCCCCCCCCCCCCTGAGAGGGTCGGCTTGTGGGCATGGCATCTACGCTTGATCAGTCCTTGGCTTTGTTGGCGCTGGAGAATGGGTGCACCGAGATCTCGTTGGATGAGTCGAGTGCGTTTGCTGGAGTGTGGGTGTTCTCAATCATGACTGCCATTATGCTCTTCCTGGTGACCTCTTTCCCATACTGCATGTGCACCCAGGAGACGAGGAAGGACGCCCGCGGTGACGCAGAATCGGCGGCAGATCCGCAAGCAACCAAGCAAACAGGGGCCATCGATGCCATTGCAGAAGCTAAACTCGATCCGACGCCAAACCTGAAAGCAGCCAGGCTCCACATGTGGAGGTCCAGCGCAACCGACGCCGAAATGGGAGAACTCAAGTGGCGCTCGGTGTGGTCCACTCCTATTCACGAGTTGACCAAGTGCGGTGGCGGGATCGGAACTGAGCTCTACTTCCGGCTGTTGAGGAGTCTCGGTTTCTGTTTTTGTTTCATGGCAGCGATAACAGCACCGTTAGTTGCTTTTAACACGCAAGGTAATTTCGCACCAGATTCTGGCAACGACCTCGTCAAGACCACAGTTGGCAACATCGGCACAGTGTTTGTCAACAGCACATTGGTGCCATCGCAGCGCTACGTGATTGTGAAATGTCAGGCGATCGCAGTCTCTGCGCTTACCCAATATTTTGGCGCTCTAGATGTGGTGGCCACTGGATTGTTCTTGGCATTCATGTGCTATGTACGTTTCTGGCAAATACCCACGTGCGAGAGCGAAGACAACGAGAAGAACACAACGCCACAGGACTTCACTGTGCGTGTAGATTACCTCCCCCGGAAATTGAGCGAAGGTCACGCAGATTACGAGAAGACATTGGAAACGTTCATACAGGAGCGCGTGCAGGATGCTCGCAAAAAGCGTGATGGGTCGGCACCTGTGAAGGTACATGAGGTGACCTTGGTGCGAGATTATGACCAGAAGTTTTCCGCAGTCTTGAAGTACTCGAAGCTGAAAGAGCAACGCGAGATTGCAGAATTTAAGAAGGATGCAAAGACTGTGGAGAAGCTTACGCCAAAAATAGGAAAGCTCCAAGAAAAGTTGTCGGCTGAATTGAAGGTAGAGGACCTCGCTGTCATCCGCGCTTACGTGATTTTGGATACTGAGCAGGACGTGGAGGACTTGTTGAACAGCTACCGAATGTGGAATTTCGCCTTATTGCGATGCTGTCAGGGCAGAAGGAAGTTCAAAGGCAAGGGCATCAAGATTCAGCGTGCTGCGGAACCTACCGACATCCTTTGGCAAAACCAGGATTTGGAGTGGTATTGGAGGCTCTTGCGAAAGTGCTTGAGCTTTCTTTTCGTCTTCATTCTAATCGCAATCTCTTTGTCTGTCATCTACGGCCTTGGTCAGCTTGCCAGGCAGGAGAGTAATACCATAATTCCCGCGCTTGGGTTCGAAAATTGCGACGCTCACTCGGGCGATTTATCAGATGATCCAGTCTGTAATGCAGTAGACGCCCTCCAGTGGACTCTTGACGAGGCGAAGGCGATGGGTGGCTCAGATCTGGAATGTTGGTGCGCTTCTCAGGGTGTCGCCAGCATCTTGCAGGACAGCAGCCTTCAAGATGCTTGCTCCGCTTGGATAGAGGACACTGGCCGGGCCAGTGGCATCATTGGAATGTCTTCCTTGTCTGTGGTAGTGATCAACGTACTCGTTGAGATGGTCCTGATCGCGATGGCCGCGTTTGAAAGCCCCTTGTCGATGTCGTCGCTGAGGTTGTCCATGATGGTTAAGGTTGCTGCGGCCCAGACGCTCAACACGTCTTTGATCGTCACGATGCTGGATTGGAACGCGCCGAAGTGGATTCAGGACTTGTCTTTGATCATTCCAGTTGGGGGGCAGCTGCTCTTCAGGGGCAAGTTCGGCGATACAGTTCGTGGTTGGTACTCTGTTGTCGGAGCCAGCATACTGTTGAACATGGTATCCAGTTTGCCTCCCGGCAGGTCGCCACCATCCATTTGATTCGTACAGTCAACCCGCATAGTAAGGACGGGCAACCTTCCCACGGGTACCCTTGCATCCTTGCCTCCTCGGTCCATATTTGGTCACTTTCGTTGGCAGCGCCCCGCTCGGAAAACTTCGAAATGGCTTACCAAGGCCCTTGTATCAATATCGTGCGTCCTGATCATACGGGTTGACTGTATCGTTCAGCGCCAAGTTCCCTAATTAAGCAGTGCTTACGCCGAAGGGGTCCTCGCGGAGTCTGTCAAGACTTGGGGCGAAAGTGCACCGCCGACCTCAGAAGGCGGCCAGGCTCCTCGCCTCCTGGTTCCCTGTCCCAGGGTTCTGGTATTGTGAAGATTCGGCGCAAGCGTGCCGTCGATTTCGATGGGCGGCTTGGTTCGTTCGAAGAAGAAACAACGCCATACATAAATTGCGGGCGCTCCGCGCGGATATCTTGGATCTGCGCTGGGCCCCCCCTGGCCGAGTTTCGCGCGCCAGTGAGGAGGGTCCAGAGAGGATCTAAGAGACCAGTGCCGAGCGCCAGAAGTTTATGTGTATGCATGTCTGTCTTCCTATCTTTGGGTTCCAGTTCGGGTCCTTGGTGAGCGTGTCCCGCCGATGTCGGCATTCGGACGTGTTCCACGGCTCCCAGCGTAAAGAGCCCAGAGAGTAGAGGAGGGAGAGGGATTTGGGAGTTCAAGGAGAGCACGAGGAGTAGAAATTATAAAGACGGCAGAGAGGGAATGGAGTCGACACTACAGTGAAGGGTAGACGGCATACTGTACAGAGCAAATGGAAAGGCGAGAGTAGAGAGTAGAGAATCTATAGTAGAAGTTGGTGCCTATATGGTAGAGCGTCAGTAGAGGTGCAAACTGGATGCACTTAGGAACATGAGGAGAGAGACTATCACGCATTCTGGGATGTTCTATAGGGAGCAAAGAGCACATTGAAGAGCCTTCCAGAGCCGCTCTGGTTGGGCCACGCGAGTGCTGGATGTCCTCCCTCGGCGCTCCCTGCTCGAACCGGCTCTGCGCAGATAGCACATACAGTGTACTCCACCACTCGGCCCAGGACTGTCTGTTGCAGAGTGTTTCAAGACAGACATATCGATCGCCTCGCGGAATTCAAAGCTTGCAAGGTTTCGGCCCCATTCAAATTCCGACGGTATCGAGGATGGTTCTGGACTCCTGACGCCTCGAGCATATCCACCAGCTCATGCACTGGGTGTTATCTGGCCCAGCAATCGTCCAGAAAAGAAGCGGCCGGATTATCCACGAAGCAGAGCGGGGAGGCATCGGCAGAGCCAAGGGAGGGAGCAACCCCAGCCAAGACCGATGGAGAAATGGCAGCTACGCGGAATCCTGCGCTTGAGGTCCTGCCTTTCCGCTGCGCATGCTCCTCAGAGTTTCCAAGGAACCTTAAGAACGCTCAGCATGGCGCCCTGAAAGAGCTTCAAGAAGCTCGGAGCCGCGCTCAAACATCATGTTCAGCCCGATCAAAGGCAGCAGCGTGGAATGGAGTTCTCCATGGCAGTGTCCTGGCGGAGCTGGATTGACCACGCCCACATGCAGCTTTCATCGGTAATGAGGGACCGTTCGGGTAGTTGAACCGTTTGTGACGGTGGTGGCGTCATATGCACCGACGTCGGACGTTGGTGCATATGACAATGGTGATGCCGATGCTGATGATGACGGTAAAGGTGCCGTGGGTACGGATGTGGTCGGTGTCTTGACGTTTCGCGTATCCCCACCAGTCCATCCAGCACCGACGCCTTGGCGAATCGCCCCGATCAGGGGAGGTGAGCAGCGTGCAGCGGAACCAAGAGCTTGGAGCCCGTTTCTTTATTGCTTGGGGCATGACGGGCGTCATGGTCCCCGGCCCCCCCCTTTGACGTAACGCTCCCCCCACCAGTGCGCTCCGGACACTGCCCCCCGTGCGCTCCGAGCACTGCCGTTGTGCGCATTGGGATCCGCGTAGGAATCCGCATAGGAGTCTGGTCCGCAGTCGTCGTCGTCGTCGTCGGCGTCGTCGTCGTCGTCGTCGTCGTCGTCGCTCGTGGCTTGTCGCTCGTCGCTCATAGTCGTCGTGCGCGCGGACGCGGCTGAAACCTGTTGTTTATTCTGGGCCGATGACGGCAATCATCTAGGGGGGGATGGAGGGGGTCGATGACGTCACGTTTCGCGCTGGCGGCGTTTGGGAATGCCTAGGAATGACGGAGGACGGGTAGCGCCAGCATGTAGGAAGCGATTTGCACCACGACGCCTGTGTACACCACCGTGCCTGCGTGCGCCACAGCGCCTGTGTACACCACCGCCTATGTACACCACAGCAGCCGCGTGCAACACAGCTTCAGTTTGTGCCACCGTGCCTGCGGGCACAACAGCTCTTGTGCACGCCACAGCGCTTGCGTTCACTACATCAGCCGTGTGCAGCACAGCACCAGTATACACCACAATGCCTGCGTGCGTTGCAGTGCCTGTGTGCACCACGGCGCCTGTGTGCACCGCAGCAACCGTGTGCAACACAGCACCATTGTGGTATATAGAATGTGATACCGAATCCTTGTGACAACATGGAGCGCTCGTGGATTCCACAGAAAACAATGCAAAATAATCCTTATGGACAGCAGAGTGCCGCTGGAATCTACGTGTCCTCCCGAGTCCGCCCGTATCACATTAACTCCTCCCTTTGCGTCCATGAGGTTCTAGCTAAATCGGCCGCCCGAGAACCAAGTGGACCGATTCAATAAACCATTCTGCGGTGCGCGCTGAGATGCGCACGTGCACTGTAGCGCCAACCCGCACGACAGGGGGTAAGGAGGAGGAGGAGGGGGAGGCGGAGATGGAGGAGGAGGAGGAGGAGGAGGAGGAGGAGGAGGGAGGAGGGAAGAACGTCGCATTCGATTATCAGCACTTTCCTGGCGTGGCGTCTAGTTGTCCGCAGCAGATCCTCACGTACATGCTCCTTCTACCTGTCCTATGCACGCACGCATTGTGGTGTACACTACCGCTGCGTTGCGCGCGGATGCTGTGGTGTAGACGCGCGCTGTGGCGTGCACAGGCGCTGCGGTGTACGCAAGCATTGTGGTGTACACAGGCGCAGCGTTGCACATGGTAGCTGCGGCGTGCAATTGTACGCCAGCGCTGTAGTGCACGCAAGCATTGTGGTGTACACAGGCGCTGCGTTGCACACGGTTGTTGCTGTGTGCGCAGGCGCTGTGGTATACACGCGCGCTGTGGTGCACGCGAGCGCTGTGGTGCACACAGGCGCAATGGGCATAATGCCACCTACATGCTGCTCGCGTCGTCGTCGACGTCGTCATCGTGGTCGTCGTGATCATCGTCGTCGTGGTCGTCGTCGTGGTCGTCGTCGTTGTCGTCGTCGTCGCTCGTCGCTCGTCGCGTCGCGCGCGCGGGCGCGGCTGCGGTGCCGGAGCCACACGGCCGGGGGGGGCGTTACGTCATACCCCCCCCTCGCCCCCGCCCCCCATGACGCCCGTCATCGTCGAACATACAAATCGCGCTCTTGGGAAACCGTCAAACCTTGAACATGCCGGAGTCAAACGCCCGTGCGTTCGCAGAGTTGTCGAACGCGGAAGGGTGGAGGAGAAGGATGAGGAGCCCGGGGAGGAAACGGAGGAGGAGCAGGAAGAGAACGATGAGGAGGAGGTGAAGGAGGAACGACGTTGGAGAAGTGGGAAGAACAGGAGGAGGAGGGGGAGGAAGAAGGCGAGCAGAATACGGATGAGCTCGATTGAACACGATCTCATTCAATGTTTGCTTCACCCTGATTGGGAGGAGGGCCCAGAGAAATGGGGGGATGAGGATGAGGAGGAGGAGGAGGAGGAGGAGGACCAGCGTTCCCAAGACGCATGAACGTTGTTGCAAGACGCCCTCCCTCCAAATTCCATCTTCATAGGTTCCTGGAAATGCCTCACTGGAAGACAACCGTCTAAGAATCCTCATTCCCGCTAAGACGCAATTCCTGGCGCACCAGCGCCGCGAGTCAACGCGGCTGTTGTGTCGCCACGTTCGCGCAACCCGCGCGAGAACACCATTTCTGGGACTTCAACTATGCGACTCCTTGCAACTGACGCGAACGTCCAGGCGAATGTGCGCGGCGCTGGAGCGAGAGCCACATGTTGGACAAGAGCCTCTTTTCCGCGCTGAAGTGTTCGCACATTTCTAAGACGAGCGAGCGCGGCGCTGGGGCGAGATGCGACTTTTGAAGACGACCCGCCCTGCAGCCCTGAAACTGTAGAAGTTGCAAGGCGCATGTGCGCAACGCCGAGACAATGATTCGAGCTCTCAAGAGAGAGAGAGAGAGAGAGACAACAAAAATAAAGAAAAGAAAGAGAGAGAGAGAGAGGGAGAGCGATTGAGAGAGAGAACGAGAGAGAGGAAAAGCGAGAGAGAGAGAGAGAGAGAGAGAACGAGCCGCATGTTGAAACCGACCCGTCTCCCATCTGTGCATGGGAGGGCGATCGAATGAGGGGGCAGCGCGGGCCGCAGATACAGCCCTCAAGAGGGCTCTTTGGGGCCCCAGAGGGCGCCGCTGGGGCCCTCGAGGGCCCCCCGCGGAGTCTTTTGGGGTCCAGAGTGGGCCTCGGGGGCCCTGTCGAGCGACGCCCGGCCGCAGGTCGGCCACCACGCCAGCTTGCCAGGCCCCTCCGGCCCACAGGCGAGGGGGGGCAAGTTGTGCCACGTGGGAGGGACCCCCCGCACCCGAGCAGGCGCACTGGATTCTCACATCCCCTCTGCTTTCCCGGCCCCCTTCGCGATGTCTTGGCATTGAGCTGTGGGCATGTCCCTCTGCAGTCGACCCGCATGGCGAGGATGGGCAACCTTCCCAAGGCCACCCTTGCAAGTTTCCCCCTTCGGCCCATCCTTGGCCGCTCCCGCTGGCCGCGCCCCGCTGGCAGAGTGTCGACGTGGCCTTCCAAGGCCCTTGCATCCTTATCGCGCATCCTCACTGTACGGGTTGACTGTGCAGGAGGAGGATAATTCAAGAATAGTTGCTGGGCCTGTTTTCCACCACCGCCACCATGCTAGGAGGGGGAGGGAGTCCTCCTGCTCCTCCTCCTCCTCCTCCTCCTCCTCCTCCTTCTCTTCTTCCCCCTTCTCATCCTCCACCCCCTTCCCCCTTCCAACTCATGGTGGTGGTGGTGGAAAACAGGCCCATCAATAGTGAAAACAGAGTGTCTACGATCTGTCGTGCTCGTTCAGCACCCCCTCTGCTCCCCCCCCTAAAGCTCGGGAGGGACCGCTCGTGCTCCTTGGCCTCCCGCTTTTTTTCACGGGAGGTCGGCGGGCTGAACGCGTGGGTCCCCAACATAGCCAAGATTGGCAAAATGGTACTCGCGGCTCTCAGGCGTAAGTTCTGCGGGCGCCGAGCCACACATCAGCTGGAGCTGTTGGAGCTCTACACGCCCCGCGAGTTCGAGATCAGCACGAACTTCGCCAAGATGTTGGTCACGGTGTATTGCTGCATGATCTATTCCTCGGGGATGCCCGTCTTGTACCTGATCGGAGCGATGTACATGTTTGTCACCTACTGGACTGACAAGGTGGTCCTCCTCTGGGGCTGCAAGCGCCCTCCGTCCTACAACACCAAGATGGCCAAAACGACAGCCAGCCTGATGCTGTACGCCTGTTTCCTGCACTGTTTGGCTGCCGTGATCATGCTTGGGCAGCCTTGCGTATTCCCCTCCGAGCCAGTGGGGGGCTCGATGGCAGGTGTGATTGAAGATCAGGCGTCAGGGGAAGAACAGAGTACTGTCGAGATTGCTTTTCAGCAGATTGGTAAGGAGTCTACTTGGCTGCATTTTGTGATGATGGCTGTTCTAGGATCCTTGTGGTTGCTTTGGCTGGTCACCTGGCTCTTCGCCAGCTCTCTCGGCCCTATAGTGAAGTGCATACACAAATGCCTTTGCAGAGGTAGGAAGGTCGGTCCAGACCAAGTCGCCATCACGTGGGAGTCAGTGAGAGATAGCATTGAGAAAAGGATGCCACCGGCATCTTACAAAATGAGGAGGAACCCTGATTTCGCCAGATTTGCGACAGCCTTCGACGGTACCGACGAGGGTGCGAGTGCCGGGGCGAGCGCCGAAGAATGTGAGGTGGGAAGTGGACGGACCGTTTCATAATCGTTCAGGTCTCGCCAGTGTTTCTGCACGGCACATACGCCCAGCATTTCCAGCTGGTTTTAGCTGGCACTGTGGAAGCGCCAGCTTGTCTGAAGGAGGGCTGGAGAAGCGGAGGCTTCGATGGTGGCCCGGACACACACCGGCAAGATTAGCCCGCTCTGGTGGAGTGAGCCACAGGGTGCCGCATGGGGGCTCCGCTTCTGCCCCCTGGTCTCGTGCCTTCGCGTCGCGCCATGCTGTGCACTGAAGCTGTTGCTGTGAATTACCCGAGGCTGCGTGATGCTTCTGCAGTGCGTGTGTCCTGTGAATCGCGCGGACTCTTCCTGGCCAGACGATCACGTTGCTTTGGTTTCCTTGCCCTTGTTTCAAACCTGTGGGAGCTCGCAGAGATGGGCTCGCTGCCGATTGTTGTCAGAACAAGCTCGGGGAGGGGCAGGAGAGGAGACGAAGAGAGAGGGCGAGAGACGGTCAGCCTTTCTCCCTGCCTGTCTCATGCCCCTCAACCTGCCCGCTCCCAGCTGAAACCCCATTCTCTCGTGGCGTCTCTTTCCCATCTCGTCCTCCCGCGGTCCCTTCTCGAAAAGCGGCTTCTGCCGGAGCCCGAAAAGTCCCTCGGGGACGGCATCGGATGCTTTCGGACCTCCCTGAAATTTCATGGGCACGTGGCAGCACTTTCGAAGCCAACTGGAGATCGCATGGCTCTGAGTGCTTCGACCTGCCTGATCCCCGGCAGGTCCTCCCGAGGCCTCTGTGGCTGTCTCGGACCCTGGTGGAGCCAGCGGGCCCCCCCCTCGGCCGCCCTGTCCGCTCGCCCGCCCCGCCCGTCCAGGTCCCCAGCAGGGAAGGCCACGAGCTGCCCTGCCCCAAATCGGGCCCGTCCCTCTACAGGGGGAAGATTCAGAGATCGTCCAGAAATAGTCCGGGGATTTTTTTTGAGTATTTTTTTACCATTCTGGAATACATTTGGAGTATTTTTTCAGTTTTCGTCGAGAATCCCGCTGAAGGGGGGCGTCAACGATAAAGACGGGCGGTAGATGCTGGAGGGAATCACGGAGAAGGATGAGCGACTTTCCAAGGGTACCCTTGCATGCTTGCCCAGCCGGCCCATCCTTGGCCTTTTTCGTTGGCCAGCCTCGTTCGAAAAACGCTCACGCGGGCGTCCAAGGGCCTTGCATCCTTGCCGCGCATCCTTCTGATGCGGGTCGACTGTACTCCACCAGACAGGGCAGCACCCGAGACTCAGCAGTGGCAGCGGCCGCCATCCGAGGCACGGCTGCTTGGGAGCCGATGCAGACGCCGGGTGCTCCACGCTCTCGGGGCGCGGCGCGGTGCCCCCAGAGACGCCAGGCATCCCGGGCGCGCCTGGTGCAGGGCGCGCCAGGTGCGCCAGGTGCACGCAGCAGCAGACGGCAGGCAATGCAGTGGGGCCCATGCCAAGACACACCCTGCTTGCCTCCAGGGTGCCCTGGGTTCCGATGGTCTTGCGGAAGAGGGCGTGGCGCTCCCACACCAAGAATCAGTGGGCGTCCTGAGAGGTGGGCTTCTAGTGGAAGGTTTCTTGTGGTTGCGCTCCCACTGTATGCCCACACCCTCGCTATTCCAGCCAAAGGCCACTGCGCAGTAGTAGCGCCGGGGTTGTCAGCGTAGCGCGTGGGTCTGCCCCCACAATCATCAGGAGGTGAAACACACGCACACAGACACAATGAATCGACGAATCCCAGGAACATATGGGAAAAGATGGGACGTGGGGGGGAAGGCGAACATTCAGAAACTATGAGAAAATGTTGGGAAATCCTGGGGTTTGTGTGTATATTTTTGTGTGTCTCTGGGCCACTTCAAATCAATTTGCACTAGTGCTCTGCAGGGGTGGTGGGCCATCGCGCAGCGGACAATAGGTTCACAAGCCCGCCGCCCCTTTTCAAGAGCAGTTTGGCACGATGATGTGGTCCCCTCGCATGGTCAAGTGCTTCGTCTCAACCATCACCGTGCACTCTTTTTTCGCAGGAATGGGGGGGGGATGTTGGCCTGGTCGGTGGTCGCTCGAGCGGAAGGGGCGGGGATTCGCCAGGAGAATCGATGCACCCGCCCTCGAAGGGGGAAGAGTGGTGGGTGGAATGGATGCCTCGCTGAACCATGTTCGCCCAGAGTGCCAGTGGGTTTTACTCTTGAACTCGGCCTCGACCTGCCCCGACAAAAGGGCCAAGGCCTGGCCCTAGGCCGAGGCCTGCGGCCGATCCCCAAACCCCAAAGGCGTCGCGGGCCCCCGCGGGCCTCACTGCGCCCCGCCCGATTGGCAGCAGAAGGAGGAGAGGAAGCAGAAGAAGGCGAGGAATAACGCAACGACACACGCGCGCCCCGAGCCAGCCCATACATGCTCGACATGAGTCCAGCCTGGACCGATCAAATCGTATTCATGTATGTCTGGTACGTGCAGCTTTTGACCTGTTGAAACTTCACAAGAAGCGCAAGGACTGGTAGACTGAAAAGTGTTGATCCATAGTCCTGTGTTTTTCTGTTGACTGTGATCCCAGGCTATCCTTTCCTCGCCCGATGTCTTTGTGCGTGTGTGTGTGTGTGTGTGTGCGTTTGGGAGTTTTGCGCCGTTGTTGTACCCCGCATCGTTGGGAAGTTCCTTCGCCAACTCTTGTCCCCAGCCGTCACCACCTCGCCCGCTGCCTCTGGGGTTTGAGAGTTCCTTTGCCCGATCTTGTCCGTAGCTGACCCCGCCTCGCCCACTGTATTTGGGTGTTGGTGCTTCTTTCCGCCATCTGCTTCTCCTAGCTGCCCCCGCCTCGCTCCTGATTCCACGGTGCCAGGAACTTGTTCGGTGAGTATTGTCCTCGGCTGTCCTCGCTTCGCTTTTTGTGTTGAGGTTGTTTGAGTTGTCTTCGCGGTCAGCCATTTGGGCAATCCCCACCCCGCCCGACGTTTTGGTTCGCCGTCTGTCCCCGATTGCCTCCACCTACTTGGCCCGTTGCCCCTGGGTGTTGGGGTTGTTTCCCCACCTCGCCTGCTGTCCCGCCCCCTCCCTGCCCTTGGGGTGTCTGGCATGGTGTCTTCGCCGCCTGCTGTCCTTGGATGTCCCCGCTCTCGGGTGTCCGAAGGGGGCGGCGGGGGAATGGCTGCGAAACATGTTGCACGCAGTTGGTTTCAGCCGCACCCCTGCATGGTCCTCCTCCTCCTCCTCCTCCTCCTCCTCCTCCTCCTCCTCCTCTTCCTCCTCCTCCTCCTCCTCCTCCTCCTCCTCCTCCTCCTCCCTCGTTTCTCGACACGTGGTCGCGCCCAGTTCACCGAGGCGCCTGGCAAACCAGCCGCACGCCGCCGATTCGCGAGGCCCGCCGTGGCTCCCTCTTCCTTCACCCCTGGGCTTCGCCCGATGCCGCAGAGGCCCGAGTCACAGTCGATCCCCCAAGGAAGATAACAGTGGCGGCGCGCACCAAGAGGCCATGTGCTTTCCGTCGGGGTATCCTGGGTTTCTTCGCTCCGCCCGCTGCGCGGTGACTTCCCGCCGCCGCTGAAGAAGCTGCTGCGTTCAGGGCGCTCCCGGATTCCCCTCAGGCGCACCTCGCGCGCGGGTTTTCAGGGTTGGGTTTCTTGCGAGGGTTTCGTGCGGCCGCGCCCTCGCTGTATGGGAGAATATGGGAAGTGGGGGGGGGAAGACGAACCCCCCGAAAGTGTGGGAAAGACATTGGGAATCCTGGGATCTGTGTCTGTTTATGTGTGTGTGTGTGTCCCTGGGCTCCTTCATTCCTGGGTGTTGGGCCTTTTGAAGTTGATGCGGCTGTCTTTGGCTGGGCCCAGCTTTGACCATGGCTGCCTGGCAGTTGAACTCGAAAAGGAAAAAGCGGCATAAACATACACTGTCAGTGCTCCGCGCGGATTTCTTGGATCGGGGAGTCGGGAGTTGTCTTGGCCGGCTCTTGTCCCTGGCTGTCCCCGCCTCGTCCGCTGCACGTGGGCTCTGGGAGTTCCTTAACCGGCCCTGGCCGTTCTTGAAATCCCACGTCTGCTTCTGAAGAGTAGCACGTGTTGATCAACCTGTTTGTTGCGCCCTGGTGTCTCCCTCGGCGCTCGCACGCTTTTTTGCCCGACGAAGTCTTCCAGCTCAAATTGGGTTGTGGACCTTCCGGATTACAACAACAAGATGGTCCGACCTTCAAGTTCGTATGCCGCTCAACACGTATACCCTGAAGCCCTCAACACCCCGCTTCTTGGTCTTGGACCGTCCCCCCTTTTGGGGCATATCTTCTGTGCCTGTCACGTGTGGTCGGTGCGGCCTCTGAAGTAGGAAGGGGAGGGGGACAGGAAGCGTGAGAGCGGGGAAGGAGGGAGGAAACGGGAGGGGAGGGGGGCAAGAGGGAGAGATGGGAGGATCGAGGGCGGAAAAGACGGGGCAGGAGGGGGGACAGGCGAAACGGGAGGACTGGAAGGTGGGCCCCGAGGGGCCCGGCGGGCGGGCGGGCCCAACGGGCGAGTCGGGCGGACGGGCCCTCATGGGCGGGTTCGGCGGAGGGACTCCGGAAAAAAAACAAGAAAACAGACACCAGAAGCAACCGAACCCACCCAGAACAAGCGACAAGAACGAACGAATAAACACCAAGAAAAACACAGACGGGCCGTTAAACACAGCGAGAGCCACAGAAGCACGAACACAGAAAAGCAGCCCGTTGTTTGGGAGGCCTCCTGCTTTTGTCACTAGCCCAAAACATACCCAGACCCGGGGTCAGCTGGGGTGAAAAGGGCCGCCCGTTAGAGCGTTTTCGGCCTTGCCGCCACCTCGTCTGGGTACGGGTCGGTGCCCGAAACAACCATACATACCCGGACCTAGCTGGGGTGGTGGTTGGGTCACCCCGTCTAGGTACGGGTATGTATGGTGGTTTCGGGAGCCGACCCGGACCCAGGGGGGGTGATGCCCCGAGGGCCCCTTGCCACCCCGTCTGGGTAAGGGTACGGGTATCTTTCGCGCTCGAGATTTTGGTCTGTGGGCGGGCCGCGGAAGC